GAGAGGAGAGGAGAGGAGAGGAGAGGAGAGGAGAGGAGAGGAGAGGAGAGGAGAGAAAAAAATAACCACATCACCACCAAAGATGAAAAGCAGGCCGCTTCTAATGAGTCCTTACTAAGGTGATCCACTGATGGTTCCCTCCTGTTTTGAGTCCTGTCTTGCCTCAGAACCTTTTATGAAGAAGGCTCATATAAAAGCCTAATTTGGGGTAGAAAAGGCAAAGACTTGTACACTGCATTTTGAATTCTTCCTGCAGCTCTGACAGAGCCTCTGGGTTGTGCGCAGTCTGCTGGGGCAGATTCTGCACTCACCTTCAGGTAGTACAAGGGCCAGGTCTCATAGGTCATTCCCAGGAAATGCTGTGTCAGCACTCCTGCAGCCTTCTCGCTGACCTGGCTCATGCACTGATAGATCTGAAACAACCCAAAGGACCACGGCTGTCACTAGGCAGATTGCTTGATTGCCCCCAATTGAGAAACTGCTTTTTTCACTAAGTCAGTGAACTCTGCTCTAGACTGCAGAAGGCTTTCGAACAAACAAAACAGAAAAACAAAGCAATCATTTATTGCCTCCTTCCTCCTACTTCAAGACCTCCTGGGGTACCAAGTCGTAGGACACCCCCACTGACCTTTATAAATGAGCAATTGAGAATAAACAGTTTTGATAATCTACCAGTAAAACTTCAGAGACTGTGTGCTGTGCATGTCCTTTCCATGGCCATCAGAATTAGCCCTTGTGTGCCACACAATAAGGACAGTGATTTTAGGCCAAGCTTGTTTTGTGGGATCTTTTTAGCAGCTTAAGAGCCCTGGTTGGACATTCTCTGTGCCTTAACGCCTTAACGGTTCATCTGACTTGATCCCTATTATGGTAATGTAGGGTATACAAATTTTTTTTAATTCCTCTCTCACAACGAATATTGGAGCAAGTATTCTTGAGAGTGAAATAGGGTAAAGTTTTGGCCTGCCCCTGCAGTTCCCTTTGGCTTCCTGACTGATGATGTTATTGCCATTCACCACGAGGTGATTCAGCTGAGGTGGGTGGTCCTCACCAGGGGCTGACACATACTGTCTGGACTTTTGGCTTCCCAAACTATGAGTTAATTAATCTCCCTTTCTTTATAAAGTTTACCTGCTTTGGGCATTTCATTATAGTAATGAAAAGTAGATTAACAAAGCATCCATTGTTAATGTTCTAAGATTAGATAACATCCATGTATGCCCTTCCCAGAAATATGCTTACTGAAGTTTCTAAGTCAGACACATGATAATAATTTTGATTAAACTTAATAGACCTGAATAGATGCTGATTTAATTATAAATCATATATATATCAGTCTTTGAAGGAATATTATAATGTAACCAATAAATCTATAACTTGGATCCCACAAGAGGAAATGTAGTCAAATGGAGACATTTTAAGGTAGCCATCAGCATGTCTCAGACCTCAAGACACCTGAGTTTCTATGTAGTAGTTGACATTAGACAATCCAGAATTACAGGAAATAATAGTTGACTGGAGAAAACAAACTATTTTTTAAAATTGAGTCTGAACTGACATGCAGACTATGGAGAAAAGTTATTAATACCTTAATAAATACTTAATGAAAGGTAATTTCAATGACTTATGTAACATAAACAACTGTCATGGGACGGAGTAGGATGCAGAGATAGCTTAAGTCTCAATAAAGCTATAAACAGCAGCACCTGAAAGAGGCAGGAGTACACCCACTTATTACCTAATCGGTGATAATGCAGCCAACTTTATCATCACCACAGTGCTTTCAGATGAACACTATTGTTCCAGTTTCACAGAAGGAGGAGGAAGAAGAGGAGGAGGAGGAAGAGGAGGAGGAGGAGGAGGAAGAGGAGGAGGAGGAAGAGGAGGAGGAGGAAGAGGAGGAGGAGGCAACTAAGAATTAAGAGGTCAAATGGCCTTATCAAGGTCACATGGCCAGCAAGTATCCAAGCTAGGTATGCTCTTACCTGGAAACAAGTTTCTTCATTACTGTCTGCCACTGTGATAACAATCCTCTGACAAAAGCAATTTAAAGGTGAAAGGACTTAGTTCAGCTCACAGTTCGAAAGTACGTCCTATTGTGATGGAGAACTACTGAAGGTAGGAACTTGGTATGTGGCTACACTGTGTCCAAAATCAGGAAGAAGAAGGTAATGAAAGTTGGGGCTCAGCTAGCTTCCGGTTTCATACAGCCTGGGACCTCAGCCTGGTGTCTTCCTTTAAGGTTAGGCCTCTCACCTTAATAAAGCCAGTCAAGACAATCCCTCACAGGCATGTCGGGAGACAAACCTAATCTAAATAACTCCTTACAGGTGATCTGGATCCTATCAAATTGTGAACACTAACCGTTACAGAAGATCATCAGATTTCTCTTGGCTTACAGCATCCTCCTTAAAGCCAGGGAGCGAACAGTGCTTTGAGGTTAACTTTTATTACAGAGGAAGGAATAAATTCTTCCTAGCAATCTTTTAAAAAAAAATCTGGAAAAAATGATAATTCTATCCCTAAGTGTAGAGAGTGTAAATTGGTAATGCCTATTTAGAAGGCAATTTGTCCATTTATATACGACTTTTAGATGTGTATCTCCTTGAATTTAGCCACTCTAGTTTTAGAAGTTTATACCTAAAAACAAAAATATGTGTGGTATCTGGTATGACACAGACATACACACAAGAGCTATTTTTTCACTACCTCCTTTTGGAAGCCACTAAGCATCTTCAGAGCATTACAAATGCCTCTTTGCAAAAGACTTTTTCCTCAGAGGACTACTGCTGAGCCCCTGAATCTAGCAAGAAAAAAACATTTTCAGCTAAACACAACTCCGGGTGTCTCACACTCACACAGGCACCAACCCTGTACTGCTGAAACCTGCTAAGGATATGACAAACCCAAAGAAGTGTTAATGACAGTCCGAGTTCACACTAGGCCCATGGGGCTGCCCCCCTTCCCTTTTCTTTGTGCTATTAATTTGTCTCTTTATTTCATATTACCAGGTTTTGTAGTTTCCATGGTGGTGCTAATGGTGGAAGAGAAGATGTTTGGAAATTCCTTCAACTTAGCATGCCTTAATCTCACAGTTTGAGCCAATCTAGCTTGTGAATATTAATATTAACAGTATGCCATCCCTTGTATATCCTAAAGCAGGCTGTGACCCCCAGCAACACCATCCTTCATACTGTGTGTCCTTTACTCACCTCCCCCATGGGATGGTATCTGTCAAGGCTCCTCTGTGGACTGACAAGGTCTTGTCTGTGCTGTGGTGAGATAGTGACGATATCAAGACTTCCTGAAGAATAGAAGGTTGATTTAAAAGGTCACGATGGGGCTGGAGAAATGGCTATAAGGTTAGAAAGCATTTAATTACCTTGCAAAAGACTAGAGTTCAGTCGCCAGCACTCATGTCAGATAGCTCAGAGTTTCCTTGTAACTCCACTGCTAGACAGTGTGATACTCTCTTTTGGTTTCCATGAGCACTTATGCATGCGCACACACACATACACATACACACACACACACACACACACACACACACACACACACACACACAAACTATAAATAAAATTTCAAAGGTCATAGAAGGCAGTGCACACAGGATTTGAAGTCCCAAAGCCAGTTTTGGAATAGTAACCCTGTGGTTTACCTACTGTGATATCATGGGAAACTATTTAGCAATTGGGAGATATGATTTCTTTGTCTACAGAATGAAGGCAATCATGTCAGCCTAGCAGGGAGGCTAAAATAACTTAATAAGGCATTGTAGATAAAAAGTGCATGTCAGTTTGTAAAAGATGTAATAGCTAAGATTTATTGAGCTGAAACTTTTTACGAGACAGACACTATTCTACGTAATTTAAATCTCATTTACTCCTCTCTGAATTGTTGAGATGGATTTCTCTTTATCTCTATTTCAGAGATAAGAAACCAGATCACAGGAAAAGTGTTACTGGACCTGAACCCTGGCAAGCTAACTAAAGAGTGTCTAATATTAATCAGAACTGTATTCGCCTGGTAAGAACTAATCCCTGTACAACAGATGCAATCAATGACAATATATTGAGACATCGTCACCCAAAGTCATATAGGATTCATTCCTAGTGGTGTAGTCTATGGGATTTGATAGACATTTGATGTTCCATACAAACCAGTCTAGTATCAAGTTTAGTGGCCTAATGGTCCTCTGGACTCTGCTCATCCATTCCTCCATTTTCAAACCCTTAGTAATAACTTCTGATCACTTAATCTGCACGGTTCTGCCTTTTCCAGTGTATTATATAGCTGTGGCCACATTGTATATTCTTTTCAGTTGGCTTCTTTCACTTATTAATACATGTCTGGTTTTTTTTTTTTCTATCATGATGAAATATTGTGACCATGAGCATTATGACAGCTCACAGGCAGGTGTAGTGGTGGGGCAGTAACTGAGGGCTTACATGTTTAAGCAATAAGCATGAGACAGAAAGTAAGCCAATTGGAATGTTCTTTAATCCTTCTCAAACAGTTCTACCAATCAGGAAACATGCATTCACATATATGAGACTTTGGGGCCACTCTCTTTCAAACCATCTCAACACTCTTACGTTTCTTCCATGTCTTTTCACAGCTTGGCAGCTTCTTTATCATTGCTGTGTAATATTCTGTTCTCTGGCTATGCCACAGCTTACCCATTCAATTGTTGAAAGACACCTTGGTTGCTTCCTATATGGACAGCTATGAATTAAACTGTCACAAACACACATGTGAGTGATTTCATGTAGACATGTTCCTAGATCATTTGGATGAGAACTAAAGAGTGTTATTGTTGAATCATATGATAAACTCATGTTTTGTTCCGTAAGAAACTGACAAACCACTTACCAAAATTGGTAGAGACAGTTTTGCATGTCCACCAGCAGCAAATGAGTTCTGGTGGCTCTGCCCCCTCACTGGCCTTTGCTGTTGGTCTTCCAGATGTGGGCTCCTGCAGCAGACTTCAGCACAGCTGGGAGTTTGAATTTGCAGTTTTCTGGTGCTCTTTTCCTGGGTTCTTCATCTCCTTGTGTTCTCTTTGGTGAGGCATCCATTTGGGTCATCTGCCCACACTATACTTAACAAGTCCTTTGATTAATGTTTGAATTTCAGGGTTCTTTGTATATTTTAGATCACACTCTTATTTCAGATGTCCCTTTCATAAACATTTTAGCTCAGTTTCTGTCATCTGGTTTTCTTGACATTTTCTTTCAAAGAGTTAGAAGTTTATACACTTACTAAATTTTGGCATATCAATTTTTTTTCATGGATTGAGCCTTTCCTGGTGTGACTAAAATGTCAATGCTATACTCAGAATCATCTAGGCCTTCTAACCCGTATCCTTGAATTTTATAGTTTTGTATTTAACATTTGGGTAGAGGGCTTTTTATGTATGTATGTATGTATGTATGTATGTATGTATGTATGTATGCACGTATGTTCTCGTAGATAAGATGAGAATGTATGTGTGTGTCTGTGTGTGTGTGTGCATGTTGTAGTGGTTTGAGTATGCTTGGCCCAGGGAGTGGCACTAGTAGGAGGTATGGCCTTGTTGAAGTAGGTGTGCCTTGTTGGAACAGGTGTGGCATTGTTGGAGGAAATGTGTCACTATGGAGGGGAATGTTTTGAGAGGGCTTCCTGCTAACTGTTTGGAAGCCAGTCTTCTCCTGTCTGCCTTTGGATGAAGATATACAATTCTCAGCTCCTTCAGCCCAATGTCTGCATGGATGCTGCCATCCTCCTACCTTGACCATTGTTAAATGGCACTGAACCTCTGAACCTGTAAGCTAGCCCCACTTAAATATTGTCCTTTATAAGAGTTGCCTTGATCATGGTGTCTGTTCACAGCAGTAAGACCCTAACTAAGACACATGTGCATGGAGGCCAGAGAGGTCAACCTTGGTTGTCACCCTCAATAATGCTGTCTACCTGCTTTGAGATGAGAAAAGTCTATTATTAGCCTAGAGATTACCACTCAGGACAGATAGGCTGGCAAGCAAGGCCAGGGATCTGTCTATCTCTGTTTTCCCAGAGCTGGGATGACAGGGGCTTGTCACCATCCCATTATTTTGGGCTAGATTCTGAAGGTCCTCATACATGACAAGCACTTCACAGACTGTGCCACCCTTCCAGCCACAGTGGTATATAATTTTGAGTTAATATCTGTGCTTTCTCTGTTTTGTCTGTGAGTGTCTAGTCTTTCCAGCACTATCTTCTGCAAAGAATATTTTTTCTCTGTTGTATTATTTTTCAACTTTGTCCAAATCAATAGACCATGTGCATGTGGGCCTATTTCTGGGCTCTATGTTGTCTTATACTGATCTATTTGTTTATTATTTTGCCAATACCACACTCTCTGATGACTGTAAGGTTACAGTAAATCTGAGATAAGGTAATGTTGTTCCTTTGACTCTATTCTCCTTCAGTATTGTGTTGGCTATTCAGTGTCTTTTATTTGTCCACAAATCTTTAGAATCAGTTTATCAATAACCACAAAATAACTCCCTAGGATTTTGTTTGGGGTTGCATTGTGTCTATAAATAAAATTTGGAAGGGCCTATATCCTGACACTATTGAGTCTTCTGTCCGTGAACAGAAATATCTCCCCAGCCACTCAGCTCTTTGGTGTCTTCCACTTGTGCTCCATATGTTTCCCTGAAGAGATGTGTTACAAATACTTCATTTTGGGCACACTCGCATTTTTTTTTCTAATTTTCAAATTCAACTTGCTCTTTGCTATGTATAGGAAATCAATGGACTTTTCTATGTTAGCCAGTTTGCCCTGATGGGTTGTTGTTGATTCTTCCTGTTTTCCAAAATGTATACTTATTTCCCCTTTAAACACATACAGTTTTATTTATGCAATCCTAAAGTATATGCCATTTATTACCTTTTCTTGTTTTACGCATTAGCTAGGCCTGCAAGAACTGTACTGAAAAATGACACTGTTGAAATGAGTGATCATCCTGTGAAACCCTCCAGGTTCTTGTGGTTACGGATGAGGCTAGCTATAGAAGCTTTACAACGTATTCACCGCCCTGAGGAAGTTTCGTTTTCTTAACACAGCTGTATGTTGGGTGCTGTGAAATCTTTTTGTAGCTCTACTGGTAGGATGCTATAACTTCCCTTCTTCAGCCTGTGGATGTGATGGAATGTTATGTAAGGCTGGGATAATGTGTTGGAATGTTACTTATGACTGGTATAAACCACCCTTAGCCAGGATGCACAGTTCTTTTTATCCAAAGCTAGACCACATTTGCCAATATTTTTTGTGGGTTCTTCTGAGTTTATGAGGGCCATCAGTCTGTAATTTTCTTTCTTTGTAGTATCTTTGTCTGATTTGAGTATTAGATAAATGCTGTAGACTGGGTTAGGAGGTAATTTCTCTTCTTCTAATTTCTAGAAAGAATTGAGGAGAGCTGGCATAATTTCCACCTTAAATGTCTGATATGAACCAGTAAGCTGCCACTGAGCTGGTGTCTTCTGCCATGGGTTGATCATAGCTTTAGTTTCTATAACAGCTAAAGTATTGTTTTAACTATCTACTTAGGATGCATCTTTCAGCAAAGAGTTTACTAATACTGTCTGATGCGTTCTAAGCATTATTTAGCACCGAAGAAACCAAACACACGTTCAGTTTATAACTCAGTTCTCATCTTAACCCTACGGAATATAATCTATAGTCTACAAACAAGAAACAGAACAGGAGAAGAAAGTCACTTGCAAAGAGTTATGTAGCTAATAAGGCATAGAGTTAGTAGTACTCTAAACCACACAAATATTTGGTAAATGTTCCTAGCTAAAAGGCTTTATTTAACAAAGAACAGGGAGTTTGAATATCACTTGGCGATCATTCTGATAATCCATTAATCTAATAAATATGCAGGGGGAACTGTTTTGTTGATGGCACTGGTGTGTCAGCTTTAAGAGATGCTGTGATGCAAATTTCTGCACAGGGATAGTGAATCGCACGGAGACTTGCTAGACAGCTAATTAACTAGTATTCCAGTGACTTTCATTATTTCCCCACATTCTTGAACACCTATGGTATGATGTGTTTTTTTCTTGAGCCTTAATTTCTTTATTTGTAAAGTGAGAAGAATAGCACTTTTTCAAAGGAACTTTATGAGAATTAAATGAGTTAATTCATGCTTAACAATGAGAACACTCTCCTATTGTAGTTAACTCTTAACCACCAGTAAAAACACAGTAGTTCAAATTAAACACATCAAACACTTTATTTAGCTGTAATAGTAACAAAAGACAAAGACTAATTTAACCATTCAACTGGTATTCTTAAACAATGCAAAACCAATTTTAAAATTTTTTTTAGACAAGTTCTGTTTAAACAATACTGGCTGCTCTAGAACTCACTGTGTAGGGCAGGCTGGCCTTGAACTCACAGAAATCTGCCTGACTTCACCACCACTCTGGACTACAGATCCTAGATTAATTAAAGCACGAATTTCAAGCTGGTACATTTTTAGCTAGGTTCTGAGAACCAAACTGGTAAGCATACACCTATGATTTCAGCACTCAAGAGACTGAGGCAGGAGGATCACAAGTTCAGGGCCAGCCTGGGCTATCTAATAAAATCCTGAATCAAAATTAAAAAGTAACAAAGATAAATAAACAAACAAAGCAAATGCTCATTGCTATTTAGGATTATGTACTAACAATCAACAACTCCAGTAGGAATCAGTTTCAGGACCAAATTACATTACTTCAAGAATGTAGTTATATTTATTATCAGTAATTATTAATATTACAACTACTAATAGTTTGAATTTAGTAGTTCCTTGATTTCAAAATTTAAATGTTTTATTAGATTTTATTTTGTAATATTTAGCTAGAACAAGTGAGAATCTTATAAGTTTGTTTAAAGAATTACACAAAACTATGGAAATGAAGTTTAAAAGTAACTAGAAAAAAAACAAATGTTACTTAAATTATAATAGATGGGGACCAATATACTTCTTCAAGTTCTCTTAGAATATTTACTGTGCATGGTATTTTTCATAAGCAACACTATCTCAGAGTACATTTTTCAAAATAAAATGTATATTGGTACAAGTAATACATGGAGAATGAATGCTTTACAGAACATATTATCATATTATAAAGAAAAATACAAATATCTCTTAGTGTGTTTAAATACATATAAATACATTTTCAGAAACACACTCTATGATGTTATTAACAAGTCAGCAAATATCATCTGTAACAGCACTAATTAATCCTTATTGAACTCCATGCTATCATCTTGTATTTTTTTACATATCTAATCAACCGCTTTATACAACACAGTAACAGTTAATAGTAATAGATAATAGTAATAAAAAGATTGATTTCCTGATCTTAAAAATCTCTTTAATACATGAGCATATTAAAAGTCCAGTGACAGAGCCTTTAAATTACAAAATACGAGGTGTGATAATCTAGTGGCTGATTACCAGCTTAATGGCATTCAAAGTATATTACAGCCTGGAAAGGGAGAACCTGAACTCAATTCTGACTGAGCTTGCAGGAATTAACACCTCAGTAGCAATTGTGTAGGCTGGGCTGTTTTGGGAATTCAATATTCATATGCATGCTTTTTATTTCCTTGAGATAACAATGATCTTTAGAAGAAATGCTGTCTATGCTTTATTTTTCCTGAAGACTTGGTTACATAGATTAAACATGTCCTAGTAGCTGCAGCTGATGTGGGCCACAAAGAGATCAGCAGTAAAGCTCAGTATCAAGGGAGTTATCAAAAAATGGAATTCTTCTATAGAATGGAGAGGAGAGAGGCAAATGAAGGGGGATTCTTCGAGGCCTCCTATTCCTTATTCCTCACATAGTGTATGTACTCTGTGTGTGAAGCCCCACCAGGAAAGGAGGCTGCTGAGGATGCTCTTCCAACTGCAGCAGGAATATGGGTGGCTAGTCATCCTCCCTTTAGATGGTTCAACAAAGGTTTCCTTCTCACAGTCTGGGAGTAGGAGAGGAGTCTGTCTCTGGGGATCCATGCGTCTTGTATAGTGCTATTGTGCCTTCATATTACCCACCCACCTCCTGAACA